TCTTCTCGGACTACGACTGGATCATGAAATTCTACTACATCACTCTTTCAACTACGAACGCATCATTTAACAATCTTACTACAATCACTCTTCTCGGACTACGACTGATTCATTATACATCTACACATCCACTCTTCCGGACTACGGACGATCATTGAAACATCTACTACATCATCTCTTCCGACTACGAGACTGCATCATTGAACATCTACTACATCACTCTTCTCGGCACTACGACTGGATCATTGAACATTACTATACATCAGCCTTCTCGACTACGGACTGATCATTGGAAACTACTTACATCACTCTTTTCAGACTACGGACTGGATCATTGAACATCTACTACTATCACTCCTTCCGGACACGGACTGCATCATGTGAACATCTACTACATCACTCTTCTCGACTTCACGGACTGCATCAGTTGAACATCTACTACATCACTCTTCTCGACTACGACTGGATCATTTGAACATCACTACATACTCTTCTCGTACACGACTGCCATTGAACATCACTAACATCACTCTTCTGGACTACGGACTGGATCATGAACTTTCTTCTCGAGCCCGTCCCTCCGCCCGCCTACTTCAATCTGCTCCTCCTCGACGCGCGCGGCCCTCTTCCGCCCACGCATGGGACTGAAGCCCCATTGCGGCTGCGGCCTCGGTGCGGCGCGCCGCGGCGGGTGCGCCCAAGCGCTTGCGTGATACGCACGGCCCACGGGAGCGCACCAGTCACGGCGGATCCCCGGTCCCAAGCCCGGTCAGCGCCTGTCCTCTGCCGCCTCTGCTGCCCGCCCCGCAAAACTCCCCCGCACTTCCTCATCACTGCCCGTCGCTACCAACCCCGTTCCTCATCCCCCCACTATCCGCATCACCTCAAACGCCGCTGCCGTACCCATGTCCTCATTCCCGCCCTCCGCGCCAACCCGTCTTCTTTACCGCAGCCTACCTCATCCCCGCCTGACGCAGATGAACCCTTCCTCATCCCCACAGCCGTCCTCATCCCCGCCTGACGCCATGCGGACCCCGTCCTCATCCCCACAGCCTCCTCAACCCCGCCCTGCTGACAAACCCCATTCTCATCATCGAGCCTTCTCATTTCCCCCCCGCCGCTGCCGACCCCTTCTCATTCCTCTAGCCGTCCTCACCGCGCCATTCGCTGACAACCGCATTCTCATCCCGCAGCTGTCCTCATCCCGCCCTCCCTGCCACCCCGTTTCATCACCGGCAGCCGCCCTCATCCCTTGCCCGCCATTGCCGAGCCCGTTCATATCCCCACAGACGTCCCTGACTCGTCCACCCCTCACCCGTCGCCTTCCCTACCACCCCGCCCCCTCCACCGCGTCTCTGTCCCCGGCCGCTGCCTCCGCCATCCTCGTCCTCGTCCCGTTCCCCGTCGCGTAGCCGTCCCCGTCGCCGTCCGCGTAGCCGTCCCCGTCGCCGTCCCGCGCGTAGCTCCCCGAGCCCTCCCGCGTAGCCGTCCCTAGCCGGCCCCGTCGCCGTCCCCTCGCCGTCCCGCGTCCCTCCCCCCCCCTCCCCCGTTCCCGTTCGCCGTCCCCGTCCCTCCCCTCGCCGTGCCCCCGTCGCCGTCCGCGTGCGCCCGTCTCCGTCCCTCCCGTCGCCGTCCCTTTCGCCGTCCCCCGCGCCGTCCCCGTCCCGTCCCCGTCCCTCCCCTCGCCGTCCCCGCGCCGTCCCCGTCGCCGTCCCCTCCCCGGTCGCCGTCCCCCGTCCCTGTCCCGTCGCCCGTCGCCGTCCCCGTCGCCGTCCCCTCGCCGTCCCCGTCGCCGTCCCCGTCCGCCTTCCCCGCGCCGTCCCCGGTCGCCGTCCCCGTCGCCGTCCCCCCCGTCGCCGTCCCCGTCGCACGTCCCCGTCGCTCCCGTCCCCTTCCGACTGTCCCCGTCCGCCTCCCGTCGCCCGTCCCCGTCGCCTCCCTCGCCGCCCCCCTCTGCCGTCCCCGTCGCCCACCCCGTCGCCGCTCGCTCGTCCCCGTCGCCCCCTCGCCGTCCCCGTCGCCGACGTCCCCGTCTCCGTTCGCGTGCCTCCCCGTCCCCGTTCCCCGTCGCCTCCCCGTCGCGCCCCCGTCCCGTCCCCGTCGCTCCCCTAAGCGCCGTCCCCTCCCCGTCCGTCCCCGTCGCCTCCCGTCGCCGTCCCCGTCCCGTCCCTCGCTCCCGTCGCCTCCCCGTCCCACTCCCTCGCCGTTCCCCTCGCCTCCCCTCGCCCTACCCGTCGCCTGCCCCCGTCCCTCCCCGTCGCCGTCCCCGTCGCCGTCCCCCGTCGCCGTCCCCGTCTCCGCCTTGGCCGCCGCCGTGGTGGAGCCGAGGCCACGGGCGCCGCGCCGCCGGGTCTTCGCTAGCGCGTGTGCGCAAGTCGGGCAGCTGCGCGGCACGGCGCTTCGCTCCGGCACGGTCGCCCGCAGGCGGCGCCGCACGCGCTGTCCCCGCACGCGCTCGCTCGCACGCACGCACGCGCACGCACAGCTGCTCCGCGCGCGCCGTCATCGCTAGAGGACGCTCACTGCTCGGGCGCGAGTGCCTCAACCACACTGATGCTATGCTACGCTATGCTATGCTGTTGTTTTGTGTTCGTATATAGTTTTCGTTTTCCACATAGACGTGGTTTTTACTAGTGATACGTTAATTTCTTGATACACGATACCGTTACTTGTGAGCTTCGATACTCGATACCATACTTCTTTAAAGACTCAACAACAAAAAGGGTTCAATCAGAATTGAAATGATATATTTCGATCTTCATACATACATGCATTTACTATTTTAATATTTAAAAAATAATGAGATGAACATACATTTATTTAAAGTTTTTAAAGATTTTTATTACGAACAACTAACATATTAACTCTTTCTGGATCCATTCTATTTATTATTTTTTTTGTCACATATGAATCCAGCTGTACTGAAAAATCTCTCCGAAAACATAGTGGCTAGTGGAATGCACAAGTATCGAACAGCACTTTTCTCAATTAAATTGCAGAGTCACTTAGTTTTTCCAGTAAGATAGTACATTTCCACCAGAAGGGAGCAAGTCCTCTTGTAGAGACACATTTAATTCATCCTCTTGTGCTGGGGTTTCGTGGTCACTCTTCAGAATATTCCTGTGAAGAGAACACAATCCCAACAGACTGACACTTCCTTGTTGCTGACAGAAGAAAAATAGGAGAGAGGAATGTGAAGAAGACAATTATTCTCTAAAATCACAAAAGTTGGTGAATGGCATAAAAAAATGAAAATATCGAATCATTTTCCGAAAGTATCGATCGTAATCGATACCACCCGAATATCGAGGGTAACGAAAGTATCGAGAACCTATGAGTCTGTGTGAAAATGAGAATGATGAAGCAATAGGGGAATCGCAGAAAAGAGAAACAGGAGAATCTGCAAAAAGAGCCACGCTTTCTCTTAAAATTCTCTTCAAATTCCGTATGACAAATCATTTGGAGTGATCTAATTACTCTCCTTTAGGCTCACTAATCAGTACAGACTATAGATTGTAGATTGCAGGCTGTAGAGTATAACAGTTGCTTAAAAAGTATTCATTTTAATATTGGCAGTGTTTAATGCTGTCAGTGTGAAGTTTGACATGCAATATAATGAATTGAAATATGATTCAGTCTTGATACATTTTCAATTTAAACTGTCTCATATTTCTGGATACTCTTTACTTTGAAATACTGAAGCCTTTTGAATTCATTCACGGAAAATTAAAATCCGAGGAGTTCAAGTTTTATTATAGAATGTTTTAATAAATTCATATGTCATATAATTTTGCATTATATTTTGAACCTATCGTGAAGTAGGTGAAACAATACCATAAAATATTATACAATACACAATACACTACAATACGAGTATAATATACAATACAATATAATATAAAACACAATATAATATAAAATGCAATACAAAAAATACAATAATATAATTTATGAATTATTTGAAGTACGAGTATATGGATTATTTGCATATTGTGTATTCAAATACAAAAATAGCCCAGCAAAGATCGCTGGGGTGTTGTGGGATTTGGGAAACTAAAGTTGTGTGTGAATATTATAAGATGAAACTATAAGAGAAATACTGACCTCTGCAGTCAGCCAGCGTTAATGAGGCACAGCCAACCGATTCAAAAATGACACATACGAACTGACTCTTACTTTCTGTGCAGTATTACATACCCCATTTCACGATTCTGGAAACAATTCGTTTGCATCAAGACCGACCATTCCTCAACACTTAATTCTTCAAAATTTCCTTATCATTTAAAGAAATTTGAGGAAGGAGAGACTTTTATTAAATTATTTTGTCTGTGAAGCGTTGTTTTCTCCATGAAGTTCTTGTTTGTGCCATTACAAGCAGGAAATCTGGTTGAAGTACGCCGATAACACATTCATATCTTTAAAATATCCTTGCGCTCGTCCAGATGTTGGTTTCTGTGGGAACCAACACTTGGATTGACCGTTAGAGCGTCTGTGTTCCCCCACAGATTACGATACTCATATTGTTTCTTTATCTGCAGAATATGCTCGATCAGCCTTCCCCCTTGGAATTAAATTATATTATTAAAATTATTAGGTACATTTTGTATGTGTTTAGGGTCTGATACTTAAGAACTGGAAAAATAAATAATTTTCAAGGCATAGAAAATAAAGCGAAGAATGACTAACATTGTACGATCTCTGAGCAAATTAATATCAAAATGCCAACCAGATAGACAATGTTTTTAGTAAAAGACTGACCAACAAGTATATCGAAAATATCGAGAACCTATGAGTCGGAGAATGAGATGATGAGAATGATGAATGAGAATGATGAAGATGAAGAATGATGATGTGATTCAAATAATGAAAATTTCTGGCTGAATCACGAAGCAACGCGATGAACTTGTACTGCGTTTTTATGCTGCCATATTCGATATTTCCTTTACCTAACACTCGCATCCCATTACCATCACATTATTAGCGTTACGAGCAGGTTCTCAATGTTTATAAACTGCTCAGTCTCCGCGAACGTACAAAAAGTACCTGAAGGAGCTCTGAGTGCAGTCACCTACCCCGAGCTTCGTGTATCATTCCATCTCTCTACTTCTTATTGTATTCGGATCTACTTCCGGCTTATGCACAACGTCTCTTCACCCACGTCAGCCCAAAAGGTATTATAGCAGGAGGAAGAACACCTGGAGTTCTAAGATAAATTTACGGGCATGAACATCAAGTGATATACTCTACATTAAAAAGAAATTAACTGAACACTAAAAATATGATTTTTTAAAAATTAATTGTATAATAAAACTTGTCTTCGGAAAATAGGACAATGCATTTAATTTTTGAGTAAGAAGAAAAAAATGTTTGCTTATAAATTTATATTTTTACAAATGTTTGATAGTTTTAATGCAAACTTTAGATAATTATTTTCAAGAGAAGCTAATTTTTTAATACAATAATCTCCATTATTAAGTTACGACTAATATTCTATTCTAGCTAATTCGTGAATTAACCGGGTTAATGTTTACAAAGTGGGTGGGAAAATTCCGAAGCCTGATACCGGAGGAATTTAGCTCAGACCTGTAGTCATTGCTGATGTCTCTGCAGTGACAATAACCCGGAAGTCCCAGGGTTTGAGTCCCGACGACTATGTTTTCGACATTATGTCGCTGGGTCGAATTCAGCTACTGTTTGGAGAAGAATTCTGGCGGCTGACTGCTCTGATCGGTAGTTTTGCAAGGATCAATACCAGGCGAGAGTCTGAGCAGTACCCTAACAAACGGTCCACGGACCGCGCGCGATCTTTCCTTCCTCTTCCTTGTCCACACGTTTCGGAAAATCAATTGGGAGTTTAGAGCTTGTACCGGCTGGGGCGGTGCCCTGCTCGGGGAGATACCTGGAAGGGAAATACCAGGTCGCTGACGTGTAGTTCGGCGCCGGTATAAGCCGGAGGGGACCAATGACCATAACAGACGATATGCCCGGAAACAGTCATACCGTAGGAACTATATCCGAAGCATATTTCTTGGACTCAATGTGGATGATGTGCACATTAGCCAACAAGAAGTGGCCAGGGTAGTAGGGGTGGAAGTACAGGTAGGGTAGGGGGTGAAAGTACCTTCGAGAGTCAATGAATACTAGACATTTCGTGATTCGTTGGAAAACAAAAGCTCGTAGGAAGTTTCTAAGCCTAATGAAAGACAAAGTGTGTTGTTGTGACCTCCACTGGGGCAGTCGTCATTTACTAACGTAGACATACAGTACTAGACTCGCAATATACTATCTCGTGGCATTGGTGCCAATAAAGCCAAACCCTTGTGCTCGACTTATGTCAGTAGAGATTCGTTAGCAGTCACTGCCGTTTATGGAGTTTTCTTTCTTCTTTTTAAACAATTTCTATTGTGCTTTGGTAATTTGATGCATTACTTATATTGCAGTTGTGACTAGTTAAGTTCGGATATAATTTTTGAAATTAACGATATAATGAAAACGAAATTGAAATTTCAATACACTGGTAAGATATTATCTTTTCGTGCTCAGCGTGAATGAAATTTTTAATTTAGTTAATCGATTTTACTGTCAGCTGACGATTATTATTGATAAGGCTATTAGTTGTTTGATTAAATTACTAATTAAAATCGAGTGGAAAAAGAAGTAAGTTTGGGTGTATCAAGATTTCTGTAAAGTGTTTTGTACAGTTCAACAAGAGATCTTTATTTTGTCCTGACTTTCATTAGATTTGTAATCCGAGAAGATTCAAAAAAAGCGTGGATTAACGCCATTAGGAAGGAGAATTGGAACCAAACATTGTTTCATGTGTTTACTTGAATTTCTGCACTAAGGAGTTTTCACGATGTGGATTTAACAGTCCAGGAAAGACGATTGAGAGAAGAAACAGACCTGAACATTTTTCAGTCTACCCAAGTAACACATTTGTGGCAACATTTCAAGACAGTCAAAAAACCAACCTACAAAATTATATTTCAGAAAATGTAGCGGATCGGATGCTGATCTGTAATTTCGTGAACCCAGTTACGACAATAAGATTTCACATATCGCAAGTGAGGAGAACCTCATGATCCGTCCTAATTAACCTTCCTAGAAATATTAGGAAGGATAATGCACTTACCATATATCAATTATTATTTTAACTCAAACATTGTTATTGATAAACTGGGACAAATTAACAATACGACGTTGATTTCGGTGCTTCATATTTGTATAATTGTTATATTTAATGAATCTGTGAAAAAATATTATACATTTTTCGGTGAACTGACCTTCATTTTGACCAAAGTTTTGTCCAGTTTCCCTTTATTCATAGAGCAAATGCCGAATATTCTCTTGCCTCTCTTCCTAATATTTACTAACAGCTTTTATCCCCCTCATTAATATCTGACGCAAACTGATACTAATACTGTTTTCGATATCAAATAACAAATAAATCTTTTAACTCACTGTATATCTCAGTTGACGCTTTGCTATGCGTTTCCGAGTTTGGGCGACGAGCACAGATGTATCTACGGTATGGCAGACATGGCACGTGCCATGGTCGCGACTCCTAAGGGGCGCTATTTACAGTATATCGCTAAAACAAATAATAACTACCCTAATTTGAAGTAACTTGACAATACCGTCCTTGCCATGGGCGCCCGAATACCTATATAGGCCACTGACGACGATGCTCCAGGCTTCCGCTTTTCATAAAACTTCCTCGAGGTTTGCAACACGTAATTTACATTGCTTTTTATAGCCAGTTTTCGCAATCACAAAGACTCTTAACCATGTCCAAGTGTGGTTCCCTTATTTCTACATTCCACGTTATTGAATGCCCAGGAACTCTTGAAGTTCGGAAAAAGTCTTGAAAATTACAATATGTACCAAAATTTTCCATCTGCAAATTGAGTGGGATTCCCTTCTCAAAAAATTAATTTAATGTCAAAATATGTAAGAATTACTCCCAATGCTCCGTGTTCCATACAACTATTTAATATCCTCATGTATTTTATATCCTTATATCCTTTTGCAATGTGTTACAACAACAAAAATCGTGGTATTCATCACTTGTGTAAACTGAATAATTTCTCGTTCGCATCGTCAGTCCAAACCAATATTGGTAAGGCGTTTGGATGAGACAACACCGTTTCAGAGGAGGTTGTCTGCGAAGACACAAAACGTACAAGGACGTAGCCACCCCTGCTCCAGATACGCCAGTGACCCCTCTATCTTATCTAGATGTCACAGCAAGAAAGCGACGTCTTCCGAAGTTAGTCGTTCTAAACGTCAAGCTTCCAACGGAAGGAGATCGCCTCGCGAGAAACTGGTTTCCATCCCTCGCCGTCGCATGCGCCACCGCCACAGCCGCCAGCGCTCCCCGTACCTCCGCCCCCGCCCCGTCTTGGCCCTCGCCCACGCCGCCGCCGCCGCCGCCGCCTTCGTCGGGCGCTGTCGGGCGAGACCGCGCGCAGCCCTGACTGCTGGAAGCGTGTGCAGCAGCGCCGCGCAACGCGGTGCAGCGAAGCGCTTTCAGCGCCGTCGGGTTGGCAGCGCCGGGTTGAAGGTCTCGCTCCCCAGCGAGCGACTGGGCGCCGCCTCCGCTCCCGCCGCCGCCGCCGGCTCCGCCGCCATTGCCTCTGCCGCCACTG